TTCATACGCAGAGCAATGGGATTCAAGGTGGAGCAATTTTGGAAGGCCAGAATTAGTAGGAAGACAGCTTTTAATTTATTCATTTCATTTTTAAATTACCCAATTCCTTAAAAAAAGAAAGAAAGATAGTCACTGCAACATTAAAACCTATAAAAAAAATAAAATTGTAATAAATGAAACAGTCAGTTGATCAGTCCACATCGGTGACCAATTTCAAATGCTCAGGACATAAAGACGCCCTAGCCTGATGACAAAGTGCTACTAAAGCCTTAATTTGTTTTACAGGATGTGTATCTCATATTCCCTCAGTTGGGCACAAGGAGAATTTTTCTGCTGTTTTTCAAAATTAAATGTTTGGGGCTGTAGGGGGTGTGGGGTCCAAGAAGCATTGCAGGGCCACATTTGGACTCCTTAGATCTGTGTAAATCTTATGTGCCAATCTCTGCCCACCCCTTCTGTATAAGAGCAGGATATCTGGTGGAACAGCCAAGGTAGGGCAAAGGCTGCTGAGGACACTATCAGACAGTCAAACAAGAGTTCACAGAGGGCACACCTTGTCTTTCTCAGGGAGTGCAACCCATCTAGAGCAGGTTGTGCTCTTAATTCCAAGACCAGTGATCCATCCATCCATGCAATCTCATTAACCTTAAGGTTGTCTTATGTGCCATCAAGAGTAATGTGGTTGCGCTGCGGGTTAAACCACAGAAGCCTCTGTGCTGCAATGTTGGAAGACCAGCAGTCGTAAGATCAAATCCATGAGACAGAGTGAGCTCCTGTCACTTATCCCTGCTCCTGCCAACCTAGCAGTTTGAAAGCATGCACTTGCGAGTAGATCAATAGGTACCACCACAGTGGGAAGGTCACAGCATTCCGTGTCTAGTTGTGCTGACCATGTGACCACAGAAGCTGTCTACAGACAAACGCTGGCTCTATGGCTTGGAGACGGGGATGAGCACCACCCCCTAGAGTCGGACACGACTGGACCAAATGTCAAGGGGAAACTTTATCTTTATCTATGTGCCATCAAGTAGGTTTTTCAAGGTTTATGAGATGTTTAAGAAGTGGTGTTACTGGTGCCACCACCTCCTTCGGTAACTTTCCACTAAAACACCCATCTCCTGAGGCCTACTCCATCATTCTACACTGCACTGGCTCTGTGTTATCGATTTAAGGTACCACCTCTAGAGCTGTTTTTCAAAATTAAATGTTTGGGGCTGTAGGGGGTGTGGGGTCCCAGAAGGCTCCTAGTATGGTTCAGTACTGTCTTCAAGCACTGATCCCTCATCATCTCACCTGACTTTGATGATAAAGAGAAATAAAGCTGTGTCACCCACATAGTGCTTATTGCCTTGCTTCACACCCTTTAAGGATCTCTCTCAATTCTTACATTTAGACATTAAAGAGCAGGGGCTAGGGTCACAGAACAGAACACCATAGCACAATTGTCGTAGAGCCGAGCCAGTCTGACGCATATGTAGAAAGTTTCCTAATTAAAATGAGAAAATAACTATGCAGTTGTTGTCCTGTACATATGTACATGGGTATCATTTAATGTCCTTTAGGGTTGCTAGAGCTATAAATTCTGAGGTTTGAATGGCATGTCAGACACTTCAGGAAGAAACAGTACATGGTTGCTTCTCCTTACATGCTGGAGCAACCAGAAGGGGGCGCAGTATCTCTACTGAATAGAGATTAAACATCTGCATTGGTCCAATATCTCTAGGAAAAGATTGTCAGAAATTCATTTTCTCTGATATTTTTCCTCTTACATATAATCCAAGAAAGCCACAAAGTCTCCAGATATACTCCTACAGACATTCAGCAGGATCATAATGAACATGTACTGCCTTTCCTGGAAAGGACGACCTTCACAGAAAAGAAATGTCTAAATTCCTTGTCTTGGATGGAACTAATAACCTTTTTGAGGAATGGGGGAAGGGTGAAGGAAAAGAACTATGCTCCACTTGGGCCCTTTAATTTGGCCTTATGGTATTTAGGGTTTATTTTAGTTTGTCTTATTTAGGGGCTAGTCGATTTGATCAGAAAGATTAATAAATTAAAAGTCAAATACTGAGTAAGGCTAGAAAAGCTAGATAAATTATAGTTAGAAGTGGGGTGGTAAAAATTTCAGCAAATGTTTGTAAAAAGTGACTGAAAAAGTAGAATCTTATAAAAACTAAACCAAGGACCAAAAAAAAGAGGAAAAATCTAAGTTTAGTTCAGGAAACAGAAATAGTCAGTATAATCCTTTGTCAAAGATATGCCAGCTGTAGGGTATTAGGAATAGGTAGAAGCCTCTTCTATTGGCTAATCTCAGAGATCTGCCAGTAGAGTGATCTTGCCCATTTTGCACTGTCAGAGTGCAATCCTAACTAGACAGTATGGGAGAGAGCCAGCTGTGCTGATAATCAGTTAGCTGAAGCTATGTTGAACATGAACTCTCACAGCCTAGGGATTTTGGGAATTATTTAGCTTGATTGTGCTGCCACAGTGACTGGGCTCTTGAGTTTGAGAAGGTTTGGAACTGTTATATCATAGCGCCTTCCTCATTCTGCCATCTCTTTTTAGGCTCTTCTGCTGGCAGATTTTAACCAACAAAGTAGATCTGCTGGCAGATTCCCCTTTTCTGAGATTAGACAAGCAGAAGAAGGTTCTGCCAACACAATGGCATTTCCACTAGCAGAAAGAGATTTTGGCTCACAGAAAAAGCAACTGTTTATTTCAAACTTATTACACACAGTATACTTTAGAGTTAGGATCTCTGGGTGAGAAAGAAACTGTCTTCCTGTCTGGTTGACGTCAGGAAGAGCAAGAATATAAAAGCAAGAAGAAGAAGATCAGACCAGAGGGGGATATTTGAAATTTTTGGCCCGTCTTTGCCTCCCTCTCTCCCTCCTGTCATTGCCACCCACACTGCCTAAAGTAGATGACAAGATCACGGAGTTTGGGGGATGGGAGAACAGCCAGAGAAATATAAACTTCCACCTCGTGGCTGCAGAAAAGCTCATATAAATAGAGTGGGTTTACTCTTTTACCTGACTTCCCTTCTGTTTATGAGACAAGGCATTGCTGGTCTGTGACAATGCCTTATCCCAGTCTTCCACCTCATAAAACAATAGATCAATGTGATACAAATAAGTATCACGGGTATATAAATAGTACCGAATTATTATGCAAGAACTCTAGGTAAATGTTTTCATATGCAGATGTGCTGTTTGTTACATCCTTTGCAATGAATCTGTCTTTGTTCTACAGTATTGCATACTTTATTCATATCTGATTCCTCACAAAGGCCTGTCAGGCAAAGTCGATATAATTGTGGCCAGTCAATTTCTCTTTCTATTCTCAGTATTCAGCTGTTTGTTGTACAATTGAAGGAGGTTCTAGGGTAGTAGGAAGGTAATTTTCTTCTCTTTGATTTTGTGTTGGTGTTTATTTCATGAAGTTTTGTTTAGCAGCTTCCTTTGAAAAAAGTAGGACCATTTTAATCAATGGAACTTACAGAGGAGTTGACTCCCTAAATTGTCATTCATTCAGTGAGCCTACTCAAGTGCCACTTGTTACACTAAGCATCAAGATTTGGGCCATTATGTATAAGTAATCCTGGCTGTTTGATGAGGTTGAAGAATAATATATTGTATTATGATTTGGGCAAAGGTGTTAATTTGAAGGTCTGCTATATTGTGCACCTGATTACATTAACTCCATGATTCCCAGTGTCTCTTCATTGATCAACTTTACATTTTTAAAAAATTAGTATGAAAGACAAATAGGTTGATGATTCCCTACTAAAAGTGACTGACAGTGCAGTCTGATAACCTGTTTACTCAGACATAAAACCCCCTTGGGTTCAGTGAAACTTACTCCCAAATAAGATTGCAACTTTAAAATCAGAAATCATATTGTCTTTACAAGTCAAACTGATAGTCAGACATCCCATGGAAGTGAGCTAAAAATTCATTACCTGTTCACTTTGATTCAGAGTATGGTTACATTGTCTTTCTTCCTCTCTGTATATGCAGAAAAAATATAGTGCTACAGAACTGCAGCAATAGATAATGATCGTAAACATCACTCTTCCTGTGAAGAACAACCACATTCTACAATAATTTGTTAGAGATGATCAGGGCAAAACAGGAATTGATAGTTTCTTTGGGGACCCTATAAATTAGAGAAGCAATAAGACCTGACTTGATCATGCTTCTCATTGCTATAGAGTGTCAAGTTTAATGGCAAAGAAGCTTTATAGTTCAACTACATGTGGGTGAAAATACCAGCATAAAAAAGTACTTTGATAAATTAGCACTGGTATCAAATCTTTCAGTTTGTCAGTAATAAAATTAAGAAAACTCTTATATTTCACTTTATTTCCTATGTAGATATCAAGCAATGGCTAAATCATTCAGTCAACATCCTGTTACACAGTTACACTAGCAAAAGGAAATGGTGTAACTGACAGTCACCAATTGGTGCTACTTAATAAGTCCCTACTTAGATTCTTCATTGGGCAGCAGTTCCCAGGGTGCATAATGAGATATCTCACTGGGAACTTATTAATTAGCAGCAGTTTGGTGATGTGAGTTATGCCATTTCACTTACATTCATGTAATTATGTATCTGAATTTTGGCCTTTATTTAAAAATCATATCAAAAACTATGTGAAGGTTAGGGTTTTTTTTTCTAACTCATTTGTTGCATTTGTTTTTAATAACTCTAACACAGCTTTGCCAATCAGGCACTGTCCGTATGTGTCGAACCACAGCTCCCACTGTCTCGTGATATGGGAGTGATAGGAGTGTGATTCAACACATCTGGAAGTTACCTGAGGAAGACTAATCTCGCCTCTCAAGAACTTAATATGACAGTCATTCACTTCCTCAATATTTATGTATAATGAAACATATTATAGCGTCCAGAGAAAGTGAGACTTAAATTCTAAATATAAACTGATTGGTTACAGCACTTTTGTCATTTATCTAACTGTTTGTTATCCCTTTTAGCAGATAAAAGTGATGGCTCTTATCCTGAGGATATAAATGATGACAACTGTACCAAAACAAAGAGAAATAAGTAAGTTACTGTGATACTTAAAGGAAAAGGCTAGATATTGGGGAAAATACAAATTCTTTTCTCTATTTCCTGTTTTTCCAAATTATTGTGTCATAGTTAGTTTTTCCTGTCCTATGGGAAGTGTGTGTGTGTGTGTGTGTGTGTGTGTGTGTGTGTGTGAGAGAGAGAGAGAGAGAGAGAGTTTGTGTTTGTATGTATATGAATAAAACCCAAAGAAATGGTTCAGAATTGCAGAAAAAGAGAACAGGCTAGTTCCAGACTTGACCACTGAAATTAATGGCATCTAAACTAATCCTGACTAACTTAAATCCTCATTGTTTTCAATGTGTCTGCAACATATGACTATATATAGAACTATCACTGTTGTTTTTTTAAAAAAATCCCATGTTTTTGCATAGTTTCCAGGCCAAAACAGGTGTGGATCATTTTCAGTAAGTGAATCTCTTGAGTCCCAATGCCTTTGTTGGAGGAATGTGATCTCTGGAGACTTCTTCTGTGTTGGAATAAGGGAATTCCAACAAGTTCTCAAAACTACTTGTTCAAGTTTATGTAGCACAAATATATGCTATCAGTAGAGCTGTTTCCATAGTCCTGTAAACAAATCCAGCCCTCTGAACAAATCCTGTAGGTGCCAGAGAAACGATACCCACACAAATTCTGCTACTGATTGGAAAGCAACATATCAGTCTGGCAGAAGAATAGAAAGACTGTACATCTCTGAGAAATACAAAGAGGTTGGGGCCTCCCAGCAGAGGGACAGATGGGGAAGCGCAAAAAAAATTGGCAAGCAATAACTGGAGCAAGACCCATTGTGACTGGCCATGCCTTGGCCAAGGAATGTGAGGGGGCAGAGGGAGGGCACCTTTGTGTCCACTTCTGCATGCTGTGCCATGAGGATTCCAACCATTTTCATTCAATGCAATAGAAATTCTTTCCACCACCACCACTACCCAAAAGGTGAAATTTCAGAGAAATTCTCCTGGGTCAGATTAAGGATTCTTGGAATTTGTGAGGCAGCAGTGGAGGTCTATCCAAGTCTTGCATTTCATTTCTGACAATCTTTGTAAAAACCACCAGCCTTCCCAGCTTCTCACACTTCAGTTAAAGCCCAGGGAAAGACACCATAAGGTAGCTTCTCCCACAAGGCTTTTTCAGATCAGGAAGGGTGGGCAGCCAGGGAGGCTACCAGTTAATGAAGATCTGTAGTAACGATGGGATGGACACAACAAATAAATGCAGCACCTCTGCCCCCATATGATGTTATGGTAAACTCATAATAATCCTCTGAAGATGCCGGCCACAGAGACTGGGGAAACGTTAGGAAGAACAACCTTCAGAACACGGCAAAAGAGCCCGAAAACCCCACAACAACCATTAGATCCCGGCCGTGAAAGCCTTCGCGAATACAGAGAAGGCATTGCTGGGAAGCAAAATTGTGTCCATGTTTCCAAACAGTTAGCTTTGTTGGTACCTGCAGTGGAATGAAAAAAATATCAAAATTGTGCTGCAACCACTGTTTAATGGTGAACCCCACATTTGAGAAACTGCTGGAGAGTGGAGAAATTTAAAGAAATTGTCCTTCCAATTTGTCCACCCTCAAATAGTGTAGAAAATTTCAAGAGGCCATTAACGCACAGCTCTAATTTTGTGTCTGAAATTCTGTGCCTCTTGAAAGTTTATACATTAAAAAGAAAGCTACCTAAGTCTTACGATTGCTGTGCTCAAGAAAATTCTCATAGCCATGAGCTGTATTTGTTAATGACAATGAGCTAGGATTTGTCTTACTATTTTGATGAACAAATCCGGTATAGTCTTCCATATAGCTTTCCAAACTAACCAACCAGGGCCTAAATATAGTGAAGGACATCAGCTGACAGAACTGTTTTGTAGAGAACCTCATGGCTCACTGATTAAACTGCAGTATTGCAATCAAGACTACTCATGGTCTGAGTTTGATCCCAGACTCAAGTAGCTGGCTCAGAGATGACTCAGCCTTCCATCCTTCTGAGGTTGGTGGAGTGATAACTCAGCTTAGTTGGGGGGTGGGGAATGTATAGCCTGCATAACTGAATTGTGAAGAGTGCTTTAAGTGCTATGGGGTGGTATATAAGCAGCATGCTTTGCTTTGCTTTTGTTTGATCACTGGAACTGTGAGGGAGTAATTAGAGGGGGAAAATCACCTCCGCACAGAAGCCTCTGTGCACCCCCAAAAAACCTGCTCCAGGGAGCTGAGAAACCATCTGGAGGTGATTTTTGGACAATGCCAAGACTGCAGGGAATAGGGGAGGTATGGGTGCTACAGCACAGCGTTGGATTTAGACCATGACTTGTTTCTCACCAGCAGAATTTGAAATCCAGCCACCTTCCTACCCATTTCCCAGCATAATCTGTAACTTTTTCTTACTTCATTTTATTTCTACATTTAATTTAAGTACAAGTATAAATGCACAAACTGTCCGATAAGTTGAATCAGTTTTAATTAACACTACTAAAAACAGCCTCTTTTCTGTTGCCTTTCTTGATGAATTATTATTCTAGATTCCTAGGATTTGCAGTTTGATGTTTGATGGTTGGGATTGCCAGACATTAGACGAGAAGTTTCATAGATCGTATTGCAGATTATTATTTGGGAGAATGAAAATAGCTAATATAATATCCAAGTCTCTGTTCTAACATGAAGAGTGATAATTTTATGCCCTTAGACCTACTAATACCACGTAATGCCCATTCTAGTATAATTTAAGAGTGAAAATGTGTAAGATACTTATTGATGGCAAGAAAATAATAGGTTAGAATTCATATTGCTTCACTGGATAAAGCAGTTTATTAGCTGAAAGCTGATTTTAGCATTTTCCAGTCCAACAATATAGTTTAGAACCCTCTGAGAATAAATATATATTTATATCTAGCAGCTAAACGTGCCTCATCTGTTACAAATGCGATTGATTTGGCTCAATATTCAGACTGCTTTTGCCACTGAAAATTAAATCGTGTTTATGAATCTTTTTTTTTTCAACTGATGTAGGAATACTGACATGTTTAAATCATTAATTTGACAAAATGGATAGTGAGATATTTTTCACTCCACGATCCCCATAATTCTGTCCTTCCTTTTAAGGACTTGGACAGGAACTCAAATTAATGAATCGGCCCCTTGAATACTTTACAGATGCAATCCAGTTCAATTCACTAAGCATCCCTCTAGTCCTGTTTGCTCTGCCATTGATCCAGACCCTTATAGGAAAGAGCCTAGTGGATTATTATATTTTATTTTATTTCATTTTGGGAGATGGTGGGTTTTGTTTCAGATACCTTGGGATTAAAAAAAAAAAGACAAGCAAGTTAGATAGTTATATCACTTCTTCAGGCTAAATATTTTTATCCCAGGATTAGCCACTTCTCTTCATCCTTTCCTGACTACTCACCTAGTAAATATAGTGACAAACTGAGGTAGCAGCACAGGTTTCTTTTGGGGTGGGGGCAGAGGGGAATCTGTTTGTAACTACAGATAAGAACAACTTATTCATGTGGCTTTGAAGTGAGGTGGCAAATGTTCTAAGATGTTTCTCATGAAAGTCCCCAGAATACAGTTTCCTGTAAACTATTCTCCACAAGCCAAAATATGATTCAAGTGAGTTATCTTTCTTCAAAGCATTTGCCCAATCCAATTCTGTCCTGATTGGAGCAAGGAAAGAATTTTCCTTTGCAGAAAGACCGAATGAGGCCAGAAATAGACATTAGAGCAGATGTTGGAGAAAGGTGACCAAGGCAGTCTTTTGGAGTTTGTGAAAGTAGGCTTGAGAAGAAACTTCCACTTTAAGTCCTGAAGACACTCTCCAAAGAAAGCTACTTAATCTGCATACCCCTGGAGGTGAGAGATGATCCTGACTTGCTATCATCAGCTAAGTACCTTCTTCCTGTAATCAAAGGCTGTGTCTTGTTTCTGGCCTCTGTCAATAGATGCTGGATGTCCAAGTCAGGACTGTGCCCCAGTGAAACAAATATAGAACTTCAGCATCATCTGACCTCTGATAGAAAAAAGATTCCTTCATAAGTTTTCCTCCATGTGTTCAAATAATGCATGAAGTGGGGTCAAGGCATGAGTGCCACCCTTGATATCCTCATTCTTGTGAGCACCACCCTTAACTTTTATCCTTTCAAGCTACGGATCTGAAGAGGATGTTCTTTGCATTTGGCTAAATGTGCTCAAAATCCCTCATATAATAGTTAGCTCTGTGGGATCAGGATTCTTAGAGTATGGCTACTCTACACAGTTATAGCCATTTGATATGGTTTTAAAATCACGGCTCCATCCAATGGAGCCCTAGGATTTGCAGTTTGATGTTTGATGGTGCATGGAATAATGTGTTAAGTCCCAGTAAGCACCATTGAACTTCAGCAGAAAAACCCCTACAATCCTAAAGTTTGTTAGTAGGAGCCATAAAAGTTAAAGTAGTATCAAATCACTATGAATTGTTGACATGGGAGATTGTAAAGACATTCAGTCAAACACATGAAGACTTTCCTTTCAGGGGTTTGGCCTCAATGCATGAAGGCCAGTGGTGACAATACTGGGTATAGGGATGCTACAGTATTGCCACCCTACCAATGCATTGCTTGAACACATGGAGGAACATTTTTTGAAAGGGGCAAAAGCCACCTTTTCATGCCTTGAACAATGGGTGAACCCGAAGCCTCCAGAAAAATCCTCCACCTTTGGCTAAAAACCTGCTTCTCTGTATACCACATTTAAATGTAGCCAATCTTTTTCAGCTGTGTTGAAAAGATGTGCTGCTTTTATTGAACTCCTTGCTGCTGAGCTTGTAAAGATAACTGAGAGTTACAAATATATTCCCATCCTGCATATCTCTTACATTATTTAAGACTGGAAGATCCTCAAAGCGCTGAGCTAGACAATGTCAAAGTGGAAGAGAAAAATGTGAAAGCCTCGGAACATCAGATTATGCTTCCTTTGGAAGAACGTATTACCCATTTTCGAGATATGCTTCTGGAAAGAGGGGTAAGAAATAAGGCTGGATTGGTTTGATGCTCGTAATTTATGGGAATGTGATATAATCTCAGTGTTCGCAGTAGGCACGTTGCAACAGTCTAGGTTCCTCCTGCTTTTTCAGTATTGGTTTCTTATCAACATATATGGCTGCTGAATGCTATTATGTTCCTGTCATTTGTTGTTCAGAAAGCTAAGTGTTTAAAAGGACACAGGATGAATGTGACTCATGTCGAAATGGCAATAATCTTTTTACAGTCTAATCTCAGGCATGTTTGTTTATACTTAACTGTGTCACTGTCCTCGTGTAGCAGGTCAGTTATTCACTGGAAATCTAAGGCCGGTCTTCACTGGAGCCATTGGCTGGCTCATCCTAAATTCTGGAATACTTTTTCAGTTCCAGACTGTTTTGCATATGTTTACTGATAAGACTTTAGAGATTGCTCTATTCATAATGAAGAAGTGCAATAAGCAGAACAGATTAGGTGGAGAAACCCACCAAAGCCATTATCTAGCTAGCTGGCACACTGATAAATATCAGGTGATCATGACATTTCTATCTGTAACAAACTTTGTTTTCTGGTGATTACACAGTTTATAAACTTTAACCTTTCAGGTAAAAGGCAGACAGACAGTTAAGCTGAATATTTGTGATTCTCAGTATATTTAATCTTTTTTTTCATAATTGGTTGTCTCCTTGGTACATTATTCTGTACAAATATGGCCTTTTCAGCTTCTATGAGACTGCATAGTGTCAATGATGTAGTTAGCTACCCTCAGCTATACCACAGCTAGAGATTGGAAATGTGACACCTGTGGACTACATCTCCCAGAATCCCACAAACAGCATGATCATAGGCTATGTTGGTTGGAGATTCTGGGAGTCATAGTTCAACAAGGCAACATCTCCATTTTCTAGCAGTAACTGCATGGAAGCCATTTCATTGTGTTGTGATGTCATATTGTCTTGGGTCATGAGTGAATGGTGAAATCACGTGGGAAAGGCAACCATATTGGGTTTTTCTAATGGGATTTTCACTCTGTCTTGCTCGGATGCAAACTGAATGAGAAAGAAGCTTACAATTCTCTTTCACCTTACAACTGCACATTTCATAAAGAGCTCCCAGTCACATGAGAAAACACACAGGAAAGCAGCCCCCACATTATCAAGAGGGAGCCTTTAAAATGCATTGTTAAGAGATGTGTGGTTTGAAATTAATTGGCAACTGCTACCAAGCTTCTTTGTTTTTTTACTATGAAAATTCTATTTATTCCCATTTGCTTGCACTCATAGATCACATTAAAGAGAACATAAATTCTCTATCATTTAGCCACGTGGTATAAAGGTTGGAAAAAAATGTGTCCGTTTTCTCCCTCAGGAGAACAGCAGCATTCCCTTATAGAAATGTGAAAGCTGGCTTCTTTTAAATCCTGGACAAGTAAAAATTGAAGACACATGGGACTGAGAGGAAACTGCAGTGCTGTTTCATGGAGCTAGGCACGTTACTCTGTTGCTGTAGAAGTACGCATTAAATCGTGTGACAAACACTACAAGAAGAACAAGAACAATAAACAGGTCTGAGCAACTGAACCAAGTCAGGATGATTCAGACTCATCTAAATCAGATTGATCTGTGTTTTGTCTTAATTAGGCAGCATCATTCCAGCTGCAGTAAAAGAGAGCCAGGCGGGGTCTTGTCCAAAACGTTGCAATTCTGCATGCCTGCATGAGGCTCCATTATATTAACTGCCGCAGACTGATTAATCCCTGAACATTTAGCAAATTGCGTCTGTCTCTGTTGTCACATATGCCTTCAGGTCTCTGCATTTTCTACATGGGAAAAAGAGTTACACAAAATAGTCTTTGATCCACGTTATCTTCTACTGAACTCAGAAGAACGTAAACAGGTGAGTTTATTTGTTTGTTTTTGCCATTCATAGGCTGCCCACTAACTTTGTTCACTGTGTGGCTCCCAAACATTACACTGGGAAGCACGATACTAAAGTGCAACTTCATAAAACTACAGCAAAGACAGAGACAAAATCAGTTTCATAGTACAGCTAAAATAGTATATACATGTAGCTAAAAATGCAGCAGATTAGAACCACAAATTATTCAAAAATTTAGAATCACAGATTATTTTGAAAAGCCTGGAACAATTAAAATAAAACAATACAAAAAAAAAATCACCTTGCGCAAAAATCACCTTGCATAAATAAAATTCAAAATAAGCCTCTCTAGGGCAAGGAAAGCATTCCACTAGTATGCTACCACTAAGAAGGAATTCTGTCCTATACATAGTCCCTCCAAGTTTCTTAACAATGCATGCTATTTTTCAATTCAAGACCAACTCACAGTCACACTTTTAAAGCTGTGGAAATACTATTTATTCCCATTTACTTGCAACCATAGTTTACATTAAGCCACATTCATCATGTTATGATCCAATATCATCTTGGACTGTGAATAAATGGTGCAACCATGTGGACAAAAGTAACCTTATTGGGCTTTTGTAATGGGATCTTCACTCTCTATTTTGGATGGATGCAGACTGAATGAGACAGAATCTTATGGCAACTGTACGCCTATAATGAGAAGAATGTCTTTCTTTGGTGCCAGTTCTAGAAGGTGTTGTAAGTCTTCACAGAATTGGCCAATTTCAGCCTCTTTAGCATCAGTAGTTGGTGCATAAACTTGGATCACTATGATGTTGAAAGGTCTGCCTTGGATTTGTATTGAAATCATTCTATCATTTTTGAGATTATATCCCAGGACAGCTTTTCCCACTCTTTCGTTGACCATGAGGGCCACTCCGTTTCTTCTACAGGATCCTTGCCCACAGTAGTAGATATGATAATCGTCTGAATTGAATTTGCCCATTACTGTCCATTTTAGTTCACTGACACCCAGAATGTCTATGTTTCTTCTTGCCATCTCCTGTTTGACCACATCCAGTTTTCCAAAGTTCATAGATCTTACGTTCCAGGTTACTACGTATGCAGTATTTTTCTTTGCAGCATTAGACTTTCCTTTCACTTTCAGGCATGTCCACAGCTGAGCATCCTTTCAGCTTTGGCCCATCCACTTCATTAGCTGGAGCTACTTGTACTTGTCCTCCACTCTTCCTCAGTAGCATGTTGTACACCTTCCCACCTGAGGGGCTCATCTTCCAGCATCATATCTTTTAGCCTTTTGTTTCTGCCCATAGAATTTTCTTGGCAGGGATACTAGAGTGGCTTGTCAGTTCTTGCTCCAGGTGGATCATGTTAAGTCACAACTCTCCTCTGTGACCTGTCCATCTTGGGTGATCCTGCATGGCATAGCCCATAGCTTATCTGAATTACTCAAGCCCCTTCGCCACGGCAAGGCAGTGACCCATGAAGGAGTATTATATTACATACCTCAATAAATGGTATTGATGGTAGTAGTCAAAATCTTTTAACTCAAATGCTTATTTTGAAGCAGTACTGTTAAACTGCAGGTCCGCAGCCAAAACTCTGCTCATGGCCCAGCTTCCATCCCAGCTAGCCAACTCAAAATTTGCTCAGCCTTCCATCCTTCTGAGGTCAGCAATGAATACCCAGCTTCCTCACAGAAGGGGGCAATGTGTAGCCTGCATAATTCAATTGTAAACTGCCCAGTGAGTCCTTTAAGCGCTATAGTGTATAAACGCTATATAAACAGCACACTTTGCTATTTCTCCCTCTTCTTCTGTGTTATAAACAGAAGATCTTGCAATAGGACATCCTTGAATGCACCTGCAAAACAAAAGCAGGTGGACTTTTAGGATAAAATTAGACTTGAACATCTCAAAGTGGAAACTAACAATAGCTTCAAAAATATTACTTTGTAAATCAAAGGGGACCCTCTATTTCCTTTCAGTGATTTAAGCAAGGGCATACTCTAGACCTTGACTACTCAATCAAGCTTTATTGTGCCTTGCATTTATCAAGCATCCACATGATGTAGTAAAATTACTTAATGAAGAGTTGATAGAGCTTATACTATGGCCATTAGCTTTGAAACATTGGTGACATGGGCCTCATTTGTGGAATATATTGCATACTCAGAGAAAATGGTTATGAAAAGCAATTTTTATCTATTCTTTATAGAGAAGATTGAAGTTGTGTTAATATATTTGGAGGCAAAAAGAACCTAATACTCAAGGAAGATATTTATGAAGTGTTATAAATGTTGTTCTAACGGTCAGTTGGAAAGATATACTGTATATTGCTGGATTAATTTCCTCACCTTTGGTAACCTCTCCTTTGGACAGGCAATGCAAAAGAACTTAACATTAGAGACAGGTAAAAACTAGAAGAAATATTCAGTGACCAAATTCTCATTCCTAAACTAGGCTGCTTCATATCTTTGGGATTTGTAGATCAATGGCTACATTCTATTAGAATTTGAGAGGAGGATGAAGAGAGGCTTAGTGGAGACTGCCAGAGTCAGTCCACGCATTATATGGAATAAAGTAATAGGCTGAAGTACATACATTCTCCAGTGCACAAGTGCTGATGAGAAGCATCTGATATCAGAGGTTTGTTAGTAGTGGTGGATTTATATGTGGGGTAAAGATCTTTAGAAGGACGTGGAGTATGATGGGCATGGAAGTCACGTGGGTTGATTTATGAGGTGATCTGAGCTTTACAAAATTATTTGAAATGAAGGTTTCCTACTCATCTGAGTGATCACTGACAGAACAGTTGCCACAAACTTTCTGCATTGTCAGTCTCGCCACTAATGTCCCTCCTGCAGCATCTGACAAAGGAAGGGAGCGATGGTTGCTCCAATGGTGCAGAAGGTGTGTGGCAGCTGTGTCTTTGATCTGGAATTAGCTAGGCAGCACAGATTCACTTTTGAAGGTAAAAGAAAATGGAAGACACCCTTGGACTACAGTCCTGTAACAATACACAAGTACTCCATCTGCAGTGCTCAGAATCCCTGAGGGGATCTCTCCCTCATTCTTAATTTAAAAAAAAAGCTCCAATGAAAACATTGGAGCAATGTTGCAGAACGCACTGCAAGCAGAAGATAAAATGTTAAAACATAGGACTTCTTGGCAGATTGTGCAAGGTATTATTTACTCTCTTCAAGTAAATATGGGATATAGAAAGGGAAGGTTTGTTACTATATCTATTGCAAAGGCTTCTCCATAAACAAAAAAGAAGATTACACACATTATTTTTTGGTTGCCAGAAGAGCCATCAAGTCAGATTTGAACTTTCACAAGGGAGAAGATGATTAAGGACAATTCTCCTGTCTTCTTCTTTTTTGATTAAAGACAAAAAAATTCTGCCGTTTTTCCAGCAATAGTTCCAGCAACAAGCTTACAATTCTTTATTGATCTTATGTCCCAGCTAGCTGGTATCACCACTGTCCACCTTGATTTAGCAATGCTGACAGCAAAGGAATAAACAAGCATGAGGAAATGTTAGATCTGGAAACAACACCACGTTTAAGGGGGCAAATGTGGCAATAATGAGTCATTTATTAATTTTAGTTTAATGTATTTCTCTATTTTTGACCTAATGGAGGACTGTTTCCTGGAACTACTAAAATATGCCTCTTATTATATTACTCTCTGGCACTCTCAGGAAGGGAGAAATAAAATGCATTGGCTGTTGTTTTTCTAAAAGAACCCCATCAGATTTTCAGTAAAAAAAAATAATGAAAAGAAAGCATGGGTCTGCCAGCAGCAAATAACCCATTAACTGTTGCTCTTTGAAAAAGGTGAATCTGATCCAGCTGTCTGCCCGCAGATCCCCCTCAAATAAAGAGTTGGACTTATCAGCTGTTTCACATGGAGGACTGACTGAGGGAAACGACAACCAGTAGTTCCCCCCATTTTCCAAGGAACTGATTAACACAATTAATTTCTTTGCAGTAGCTACTTGTACACCTCAGCTGCTGCCCTGTGATGCTGTGTTGGGGTTGAAAATTACACGAACAACATCCAGAGTGATAGGAAGCAGACTTATATTAAGTTATTGTTTTCAGAGGGCTGAGCACATGGTTGGTTGCCCAGCACTGGAGAAGCACTGGCCAGCTGGCATGTGCATGGCCAAAGGGAAGTGAAAGTCACAACAGCACCAAAGGAAAAAGAGGTAGAGCAGAGGATGAGTTGGGCTGGCTTCACCAGCATGAATGTGATTAGGGTTCTGGACCTTTTAAGGTTTGGGCCAGCATGGCAGCAGGCAGGATGTAGTGGTAAAGCCTTTGGATAAGCATTGATGTATTCTGTGGCATTAAGAGGCAGCTAAGAGACTCAGATGCAGGTAGACCTGACGGGAATAGACACAACGTTGCAGCCATTTCCAAAGCACGATGCCTTGTACCTGTCACCATTTCTCCAACCACTTAGTCCCCCTTTGAAAAAAACTAGAATCCTTGATGGTAATAGGCAACTGCTTCATAGCGGCAGCAACAACACTCCAAGGTTTTAAGTGGGATTCTTATTTAGGCCCTACCAGGAGATCCTTGGTGTTCTCTACTGGTCTTGCATCCAAGTACTACTCAGACACAAGCCTATCTATTTTTAAATTGAATAAAGATTAGGCATATTCAGGGCAGTGTGGTAATCTATTAGTATGTGGCTATTACACCTAGCTGGGAATACGTGCTTAAGCCTCACATATTTTCTGAGTGTTGAGCAAAACCCAGAAAAAGACCCCAAAGAGGAGAAATCATATGTTCTGGGCACTGCTTTCTACTGCCTAGGAAGTGAAGAGAACTGGAGAGCCCTCCAGTTATTTGAGCCTCTGGATATATTTACCACATCTTATGCTGTAAGCCAGCAAACATTCACTCACATCAGTGACCCAATGCTAACAATACTTATCACACATTGGGTTCTGGTCTAGGGAACACTAAACCATGTTAGGGATCAACTGAACACATGGGCATGCACTAGAGACACCTCCAACATGGCCAAAAGAGGTCCCACACATATATCATGAACACTGATGCCACTGCAAGCCATGGTTGACAGGACTTCATAGGCATAACCCAAATATTTTACAATCTTATCAGCTTCCCCATGTAGAAATAAAAGACCAGGAGGAGATTATAAGCCTTAGCTCCTGTGTTATAAGTCCTAATAAAGGTATACAATTCTGCAGTGTGTAGCTGGGTTCTTTTCGGAGGCTGTGCAAGCTGTTGGTTTTAGTATAGTTCCCCTCATAAAGGAGATCATGTTACAACACCTGGTTAAATTAGGATTATAATCTTTTGGTAAGAAATACAATGAAGATTTTTAATGTCCAAATAGTATCTGTTCTTGTCCTTCACAGTAACATCTGTTGGTTGTGGCCATATCGAGCTGTGTGACAATATCTTAATTCTTTATTAGTCAAGTTGAATTATATTTTGGGGATATGCTTTCAGCATACATTTTCCCCTCCATAAAATGTGTATCTCATTAACACTACATTATAGAATTAACTGGGTCAACTAATGCAGGGGTATCTACACAGACTACCAGAGATATGCTTTCAGCATACATTTTTCCCCTCCATAAAATGTGTATATCATTAACACCACATTATAGAATTAACTGGGTCAATTAATGCAGGGGTATCTACACAGACTACCAGCAGTTTTTCATACAGAGAGCTCTTTCCCCGCTGGGAAAGTGTCCACAAAGAAATGAACATAGGATTTTGTACATGTGCTGTTCTACTGACCCCATCCTATCAAGTAGAATACCTTTTGCTACACAAGAGTCCCCAGATCATTTCACTTGCAAATGTACTTGCTTGAGAAACCTCATGGATCTTGCAATTGGTCTTATAAACCAAAAATTTTTCCCCTCATTTGTCACACCAGTGTGCAAATCAAACAAGTCATTCATTGTGATGATTTGATTAGCCAGGGAGCTGCTTTGTTACTTTTGGGGGTTTCAATGCTACTGTTCCCAGCAACCTCCTGTTCTTTTAACCTCTAATTACTGACAACATCAAGATACTCAGTAACTGAACATCAGTAGGATACCGGGCCCACAAAGCCTATAATTTACATTATTTAGAAGGAAGCCTATACTTTGTATCAGTTAGGACAACCATCATGCTCTTTTCCTTCCAGTTTTTTTCAGAAGGAGGCAGTTATTCTGGAACTAAGTGGGTCAGAATTGGACTGTGGACTGAACTTTCTCTTGTTTTATTGGCATTTTGCTTCATCTTGCACATCAATTACAGTGAAAAGGTCACAGCAGATTAACAACGATTACTCTACAGATATAGAAGGAATAATACCATGAGCCTTGGGGAATGTACACTGTGAGTAAAGAGGCAGAGAGAACTAAAATTGTCTTTGGGAAAGCAGCATGGTTTTGCAGGCAGATATTACCTGTCAAGTCAATTAGTGTTAGTTATGAGCAAGAAGCACACAATTATCTCATTTACATACATACTGTTTCTTTCTTGAAGTGCCTTTATGAACCTAGGAAACTGCACAGTAGTGAGTCAAATATAAGTTCACTGAGCTCAGCATTTCATCATCCAATTTGTAACTAGCCCTGGTGTCCATAGCTTGGTGATGTATTAAGAATTCTTGCTTGAAAGCTGTAGTGCACTCCTCTGAATAACAGCAGAGAGTTCTGGGTAACTTATAAAGCTAGAAACCCTGGTATTCAGTAGGATGGAGTCACAGCACTCAATGTGGTATCAAGCTGCTGTACCTGTGTAGTGTCGATGCAATTCAAACAATGCAACATCATAGCTCATTACATCACATTTCAGTTCTAGACAGTCTCAATGTGGCAACTGTCCAGCAGCTGTACAGCAGCAATCAGAGCTGGGAACCATTGTGAGTAGGTCCCTTGTCTTAAAATTAAAAAAAAATTGAGAGGAGTTGAATGCATTTGCCTCATTTAAGGCAAAAAGAAACACTTCTCCTGCTCTTTCCCCATGACAGCCGATGCAATTAATAAACACTGCTCATTGTACCAAATGAATGTGTATGTTATTACAGTGTTTGTAGTCACTGTATCTTTGTTTCTTATTCTGTCCTCCAGAATAACAACTTGCCAGTGACGATGTTACTGGCAATGTGTTACTTCCAAGCATTGGAAAAAGAGGACCAATTAGAGTAATGGTTGGAAGGTCAATTTGGTTAAAATGTATCAGTTCTAAAAATAGGAGCATCACCCTCTCCCATTCTCTACCCATTAGACATAATCAGCTGTAATAATTGATGTCTAAAGAATCAAAGCCAAAAAGGTGGAGGCACAGAATGACACGGATTCCTTAGTTTCTTTCAGCTGGTAACAAATCGGCCGAAAGAGCTTTTTTAAACTCGATTCTCTGTTATGGTATAAAAAAAGGTACACTTTCCATTGACCTCAGAACCTAATGAGCAGCACAATTCTGCATTGGATACAGGGTTTGTCTAGAAGAAAAAGACAAAATTAAATATCTGGGACCTTAACTCATTGAGGTGAATGCAAGCAGTCTGAAATCCATTGACTTTTAAAAGGACTTCAAGATACAAATTCAGCTGATAGAGAAACACAAACATAATTATTGAAGAGGACCATCTTGGACAGAACTGGGAGACTTGCTCCCCTCTAGATGAGGGACCACTTCTGTGACCTTTCATGATTGCATATACTTGGTATGGCTGATGGGAGCTATAGTCCAACAACATCTGGAGGCCAGAGGGTCTCCAGATCTCATCTAGTAATTTGCCTTTTAGCTGTGCTCATGCCATCATCAACTCACTAAAATGAGTTACTGAAGGAAATCATCATCTATATCCTGCTTTTATCATCTTATATGGAATAAACTAACTAAATGGAATATATTGAACAGGTAAATGGTTTGCTAATGTAAACTTTTCTTCCTATTTTCTTCCTTGCTTAAGATATTTGAGCAGTTTGTCAAGACTCGAATTAGAGAAGAATACAAGGAAAAGAAAAATAAGCTACTACTAGCCAAAGAGGAATTTAAAAAGCTGCTAGAGGAATCTAAATTGTCACCAAGGTATGCATTTACAGTACTTTCTGAATGAGTTCCTTTCTGTGAAATATAAGTTTTAACCTCCCCATACAAATATATATATATTTGGGCCCCTCACCCCAGCACTCCATGAGGGCTTGGTTTCATTCATTAGGCCCTTGTTGCCCACTTTCTTTAACTGGATCTCAAATCCCTTCACTGATCCACCACATACCCTGTTCAGTGCTGGGGCTGAGTTCACACCACTGACCTCAGCAAGCAGTGCCCCTCAGAGAAGGCGAGTAATGCTGGGCCAATAGAGGTCCCTTTGTCCCAGGAGCTCATCCTGCTAGGTGCTGCAGCCACTGGTAGTGCCTCTTCCTCCCCCAGTGCTTATTCTGAGTGTCTGTGGGTTGTCCAGGTCATGGCTCAGTCTGATGCCTGGGCTGCTGTTGTGGGGGCACAGGTGGGGCAACAGTGGGCGCTCTTCCTCTGCATCATCTTTCTGAGGTGGACCTTACCCAGGACACAGAATGAGAAGGGGCTCCTTGCAGGCCTCTGCCCATACCTCTGATCTCAAGTCTGATGACAGCAATGAGTTGTCCTCCTTGTCTTCTTCCTCTTTTCCCTTTAAGTCCAGAGCCCACCATTCTGCCCCTGCCATGGCCTCACACTCCAGATGTGGCTCATATTTCTCCAGATTCCCACATGGAGGCCCACTTCTTCTTTCCTCACACTAAGGCCACCTTGCCACCGGAGTCTCAAGGTAGTCCATCAGGGGGGTGTGGGTTAGAAGGGGATAGCCTACTGGAAATAGGCAGAGCATCCTCCTCACAGAAACTGAGCTAGGTTTGTCAATTTTTGTGATGGCCTAATTCACAGATTTGGTGGGGAGATGCCATTTTTAAATGTTCCTCCATGGAATCCAAGAAGAATCTTCCCTTCCAAAAGATAACTTTGGGTAGCAGGAAGGGTAGCTTCTATTTCACCTGTTGTCTGGTGTGCTGTTTCTTTTTTGAAAATATTTTATCTTTTCCACCATAAATTGCTGTCAAGGAAACTGCCAGGGTCTTGCCTCAAGGAAATATTTTCTACAAACCAGAAATCAAACTATGTTTGAAAGAGTTCTAGTGAGTTACACCTTATCCTTGAAAATGTATAAGAAGGAAGGCACTTTCTCACACTCTTTTACCTTCACAAAACATGAAGAAATGGTTAAATTTATCATTCCTGTCAAGACAAACTGTTTAAACACATCAAGGCAACCTGTCATATACTCATTAAACCCAGTGAGTTTTCTCACTTCAAACATGAGAATGAGTCAAGAGCTTTTACTCTGTCAGAGGCTTTTTTTAACATTTTGAGCAAGTTGTCTCTGTACAAAACTAGTGTTCTTTTCCCTTGCTAACTAAGCAACAGGCAAATGGCAAGCACAGAAAAACTGGCAGACTGATTTAAAAGATACAAGGAATCCATCCAGTTCTTTGATTTTCTTTTTTTTTAAAAAGGCCTTGCAGAATTATCATTTTTTATTCAAAAATCAGTATTGCATGTGTGAAAACTCTAGCTGAAATTGACCCCCCCAAAAAAGCTTGTCTTTTTTTAAGTAAAGTGAAAAATTGGTATTTTTAATTCTCATGTGCAAAAATAAGACACACAAGGATTTACATCCTTGGCATTCACCTTTTCCCATTTCAAGTGAAACTTTAGTGGGTTCAAACCAGTGCAAGTTTCTTATATTTTTTTCATTCTCGCTTTTCTATCCCCACCTTCTTCATTCTGCAAGAAAAACTAAATTTTCTGTCCAGGAGCATTTAAGTATATTAAATATGTATGTAGTGTGCATAATTTATATTGAGCGTATCATCTGATGTTTATAGTCACAGGATGTCCCCATTTTTGTCCATCAAACATCAGAGCCAGTACAGTGACCAAGTTCTAATTGGTAGCAATGCAGCACAGAGCTAATCTACATATATTACTCTGCTGTATTTAATACTCTGAACAATTAAAAATCCATCATACAACTTCACTGTGTTTGCCAGTAAGAGACTGAATTGTGATTAGTATTTGCATTATGCTCAAGTACAATAAGGGTGTTCATGAAGCACATTCAGGAAAACATTGTTTTTGCTGATCTTTTTACAAAACCCGAACTGCATTTATACAAAATGTATCATTAGGTTGCTGCACGCACTATAAACACAGGATTATACATTGTTGCGTGCTTGCTTTCCTGAGCTATTTATCTGTAAGCATTGGCAGAACAGTAAAACATGTGATTCTTTTTTTGTGTATGATTCTGTCATTTATGAATCATCAGGGTAGATTTCTTATTACAGTGGAATTTCAAGTTATAGAGATAAAGATCTTGCTAATGTTTTGAACAGCTATACAGATCTTCAGATATTGAAGTACACAATATATTTTAAGCTTCCCATGCTGATTATAAATAATCCTGTGGTAACCTAGGTCAATATGCAACAGCACTATTCCACTGGGACAAATGACATTACATTCACTAGTAGATCATGTGCCAGAAGGAATCCAGTGCCATTTGTTGTTGCACAACTATTTGTGCAAACAATTGCAGAACTGGTTGGCAAACCAATTGCACCCTTGTCTGAAAACATCTCTAACAACTGCTTTGTGTTTTGATGAGAGGTGGTTAACTGATGGAAAAAGAAGTTAGCTTCTGGAATTTTCCTTTGCTTGGTATTACTTTGTGAATGGTAGTGAACACAAGAGGGTATTTTGTAGACCATCTTGACTGTTGTCATGGATGTTGTCAACCTTCAGGCTGAGCCTTGGCTATGTAAAGTTTGACAACTTTTTTTTCCCCTGCTGGCAAAGTGGGCACAATATTGTGCAGCAACATCAGGCTATTTCCTTCGGGTTTGAATCATGGATACAGAAGCACAATATCGCACATTCATAAACCAAAGGATTTATTTTAAAATAATTGAATATTTTTGGTAGGGATATATGGCAGGAATACAGGCTGCATAGCAACAAATCATGACGTCTTGCATCGTGTATTAGAAACCTATGAGCCAGTTCAATTGTTAAAATATCCTTTGAACTGTAAATTCCATGCAACTTTATGTCATTCCTAGACATCAGCATTGGATAATCATAGCAAACACAATGTTTCTGACTATCATAAGCACTTAGAGGCAAAATAAAAACTAGAGATGAGGATATTTGTATAGGGATATCCCTGGCACAGCTGGACCCTGGGACCGGACCATCCACTCACACGTCTTGCCATGGCACCAGTCCCCCTCATCCTTCTAATGGTGCCTGGAGCTCTGCTCTCTTCCTGCTCAGCTGGCCATGCAGCAGCCATGCGGGGAGACTCGTCCTCCCCCCCACCCGCCAGCAGGAAGGTTTTTGGGTTAGTACAGTTTCAGCTGGCTTAATGTTAGCCAACCATCAGTCATTATGGCTAATTAAGATTTTGCCTGTTCACGAAGAACTCCCAATGAGCTCGGTGAGACCTACACCTGAGCAGACATGTATACCACTACATTCTTACAGGTAGGGATGCATTTACTAACTGGCCCACTTTACTGAAATTTTACCTTAAATTTTGAGAATTTTATCTAATTACTCTGGAGAATCCATGATGGCCTAATTATTCATCAAGCTTCCTGAAATTGTTAAGTCTACATAGTATAGAACTAAAAAATAACTGAGAGTGTGATCAAATGGCACTTTGTCCCACAGTTTGTACCATTTCAAAAACAGGCTGGTTCATTTTTCAGGAACCACATGACAATACAGGTAATCACAAACTAGCCTAACCCTTATCCATACCTCCTTGCATCTTTTTGAGTCCCTGGCAAAGGGACTTGTTGTTTTAGTGTGGACAGGACCACTCCATTTTGGTTCAGTTTCAGCATGTGTGTTTGCCAGTATCAAACACAAATGGATCTGTTAGCTGACACTTCATTTAGTCATGTTGCTGTAAGATCTAACCTTTTTTCTTTCTTTCTCTTTAAAGGGAAGAATGGGCTAAATAGGGTCACTAGAGGTCTGATGGGGTGTCCTGTCCAAAAAAACACATAATATGCAAGGATCAGCCCAAATGTCATACTGCACCTCAAAGCAACCCTATTTACAGTAACCCAATAGTGACCATCTGGCTATCAAGTTGCACCCTTTATATAAGAAGCCATGGAAATCTATGGGCATTTGAAATGCTGACTTTAGTCTTTCCATTTTTATCATTGCTGATGACAAGAAGATGCAGTTACAATAACTGCGGTAGGGGAAAAAAGGTTGGATTAGAGAGGGCAATAACCACCGGTTCAGTGGTTTGACCTAGTTTGTTCACCATTGCAACAGGTGCCCAGTGGTTCAGCACCATCCCCCCCTCTGGTGGTTGCCCACTTGGAGGCAGGGTCCCATCTTCCCTGCCCCACCTCCTCCAGCTGCTTCCTCTGAGCTAGCGAGGGGGGACACTGAACCACTGAATACCTGATGTGACATTAAACAAACCAGGATGAGCCACCGAACTGCCAGTTCATGCCCATCTATAGGTTGGATATGTAAACAAAGACGAAAAGAAAATATGAAAATATATTAGAAAGCCAAGAGCATTGTGACATTGTAGCTTGATTATTTCCTCTTTGATTCTTTCTCTTGCTCCAGGACAACATTTAAGGAATTTGCAGAGAAATATGGTACAGATCAACGGTTTCGACTCGTGCAGAAGAAGAAAGACCAAGAGCAGTTTTTTAACCAATTCATACTTATCCTTAAAAAGAGAGACAAAGAGAACAGAATAAGGCTGCGGAAAATGAGATAAAAAGGAAATCTGCCATAAGAATGCAAGTCAAATACTGTGGAATCTACAGTGGAGGAAGTGAATGGCATGCATTTTTGTGTCTTTTTTTTTTAGTTTCAAAACCCGGTGATGTAAAGAAAATCCAGATAACTCGAAGAGCCTCCTGTGCACAGGAAGACTCTGTGAAAAGTTCAAGGCTGTGTTGCAGAAATCTGCGGGATATTTCATTCTCAGTGACTTAATGTTTCATATTGAAGCTCTCTTTTGTACAACATTCAAGTTTGATGCATTTCTAATTATCATGATATGTCAGCCCCTTAATTGTTTTAATTATGCAAATTACTTGTAATATACACAAATTTGAAATCCAGTGTGATTTGTAATTAAGCAGAAGCAGATGTCATCCATAGCACTCGCAAGACTTTTTTTAACCATTTAAGAATTACATATATAAATATATCTATAAGGCTGTACTCCTGTGCACACTTACTTGAGCGTAAGTACCATTGAACACATGGAAACTTAATTCCAAGTGAATGTGCTCAGGATTCTGCCACACAGCAATGTTTTGACAACTTTGTACATTAAACATAAATGGTTCAAAGGTCCAGTGGTATTGAGGATATCATTACTCAGTGTTCATAGGTCTAAGTCTAGTTTTCTGAGCAGTAGTAGTAATAGGGTATTTACTGTAAATCATAGTGAAGAGTGTGAAAACCTTGGCATTTTTTCCTGTAGAACAATGTATAAATCTTTTTTAAAAATGCTTTGTAAGTAAATTATTTGGGATGATGCTCGAAGCACACTGAAAAGAGCAGCACTTCTCTACTAAAAGCTACCATAAAGAAGTTATTTTGTAAACTCATCCTACTAATATTTGAGTTATTTTTATTGTATGCGGAGAGTTTGCATGAGATTAGTCTCATCTTTGTACAGACAAATATTTTAACTTTTTTTTAATTAATAAATATTTTAAGACTACTGACCATTTTAGTTTTCTGCTATAAAATACTTAAACTGGAAGCCCAATTTGGTAGTCTCTAGCTGTTTTGGATTGTGATTCTGAACATTCCTAAGCGTTGGTCATGTTGCGTGGGACTTAGGTGGACTGCAGTTAAAGGAATTTAAAGGCACCATCTTGGAGCGGGGGTGGGTGGGTGATCACATGCCTGCCTAGTTGCGACAAGTATGAATTGCTTGTCAAGCTGAGAAAGTTATTCAAAAGGGGAAAACTATTCTTTTTTGTACTTTAAGTTGACTGGGGGAACCCCATCAGTTAATAAGTTACATTTTGTGAACTTGTACTGTATTATTCCATAGCTTCATTCTCATGAAAAGCAAGTGAGATGGCATGTGGAATTTTTAATCGTTCCATTTCAGGCTGGAGATGACTGAAAGTTCCTCCATGACAGAACAACGCAGATGAGAAATAACTGCTTTTTTTTTAGACAGGAGGCTAATGATTATGTAGAATAAAGTTACAAGTTGGCATTGGATACAGATTTCCTGGTGTCTAGACATTATGAGAGTTAAGCTAGGCTTAAAGGCACTAGACTTTAGTGGTTTGCTCTGCTACTATCTCTAGCAAAAGCAGGATGTATTATATACCCTGGATAAGGAAATTTATTCAGTTTGTATAATGTCTAAATCACAGAGCTCAGTGATCGCAGAAATCACTTTGTTTTATAACCTGGCCCTATGAAACAGTATTCTAGTATTTCAACAAAAAGGATTAGGCCTTAAGGCTCATGTCACTGCATAGTGCACATACTGTATATACTTTATAATCAATTAAAAAGCAAAGACAGTGATGAGGCAGTTTGAAACCTGCACTATTAAGACACCAGAACTTCTGTTATTTGTGGCTTCTTCCTGGGCACTTGGGTTCCACCAGTGGGCGAAGGATGCTAGGTGACCATGCCAGTCGTGAACTCCAAGTCTTGAATGTTACTGGAGTTCTCCAAGACTGGATTTAACACTCTCACTTGATCTGACCCAGGCAGCTCCACTTTGTAAATACATTCATATGGCACATTCTTCACATGCCACATTATAGCATCACTCAGATCAGACAGTGTTCCTTGCATTATCAGAGGAAGAGCGACTGCATGTGGGTGGCAAAATAAACAAGCAGTGATGCCAGTAGGTGGATTAAACTAGGACCCCACTGACTAACATGCACTCAGAGTGACAAAGGAGTAGGACTGCAGGTGCTTTATGATCTAAAGCAGGGAGCTGTCCTAACAAATTTCAAACCTGGCTCTAAGAGAAGCTCAGCTGACTGCTCCCTTTCCAGGCTTCTAATATACAGTAAATTGGAAATCTTTACCTTAAGTATTGGTTTCTGAGGTCATCATGGCCATGGACCCATTACACTATAGGGTAAGCTTTGGGAATTGCCAGTCATCATGCAGGTGCCCAGGCTGCCCATCTATGTAAAGATCCCATAACTTTTTGCACATACCATCCAACCTAATTATGACCCAGTTAATTGAGCATAATCAGCCAAATTAACTTTTCCCATACTATTTTGCCCCAGCTGCCACATACTGCTATGCCTGTCAACCAACCATGACCAAATTAATCAAATTAATTTGACCAAATTATCCAATCCAGGTGTCACCTGCTCCCTTTGTGCACCCATCTATTCTGAACAGACAATATGAAAAGAACTTTGTAACCTGGCTCAAAATCAGACCAAAACATCCCAACCTCTCTCCAAAGTGAGCAGCAAAGCCATTACGGAAATATAGGGAGTGTAGGTGTGGTATGTAGTTGTATGGCTCTGTGCTAATACCCTGGGTGTGTAAAGCATGCCTTATCCCAAAAGAGGATTCCTGTCCCCTGCCAATGCTACAGTAAAGAAGCGTTCATCTGCCAAGCTCAATTTCACCCAAGTTCTTGTTCTTCCAAACATTTGCATTTTGTTTCATTTACACATTGGATTGCTAATTATTTTCTCAATCTGCCTGAAAACCCACACACATTTTCAAAGGATATTTTTGTTTAAAATATATACATTGCACCCTTTTTAGATGTTTGGGGTTTTTTTGCATACTTTCAAGCACACACTGTTTTGAATGCAAATGTTATTTCAAGCATTTTGTGCATTGAATAAACATGTATGTGCATTTTTCATGCACTTTCAAATGTATGCATTTTTTTCAACCCCCTTTTTTAAAAAAACTTACAAATTTTTGCAGGCTGTTTCTTTTTTTTTTCCCAAACTGTGCTGCAAGCTTCAGAAATATATGATCCAGCCACCCACTGGTTTGCATTTGAAGAGCTTGTGTTTGGACATGGGCAGTGTAAATATGGTAAGCTAAGGATAAGTAAGTAATGTAGAAAGAGGGAAGCAAGATAACAGAGTGAAAAAACAATGAGCTCCAGAGAATAGCAAGCAATCTTTGCCTGCAAGGGAAAGGCATTCTGTTGCCATGTCTTTAGATCTCATTTTACCAGCTGAAGCAAAACAGCTTTTGTAGTTGTTTCTTCCTCTTTTCCTTTGAAGACATAAGCTTTTCTCTGTCAGAAAAAAAGAAAGAGAGAACTGCTCTCTCTGCTCAAAAAACAAGCACCTCATAAGAAGCGAGAATATATTTAACTATAAAGAGCATTAGCGGGAAAGACGGTGTACATCTGAAGGAGATCCGACTGTAAAGGCAATAGGCTTTTTTTGTGTCCTGGGTGGTGTTTTGTTTGTATTAAAATGTGTCTCTTTTAAATGCTTATTTTCCTCTCCCAAGAAGGTGATATTGATTTAGTAATGGTGGGAGAAATGTTAGAATCTGCTGGAGCTTGGAAATCAAAACTGCACAGCTCTGATGCAGTTTGATATGCTTATGAACACGTACGTGTGTGTGTGTGTGTGTGTGTGAGAGAGAGAGAGAGAGAGAGAGAGAGAGAGCATAAATATAGATTTACTGGCTGTGGTAACTGCTGGCAGGCAGACATACTTATAGGACCCTCTAAACATTCGAGTGGTGTTGCAACATGTCTGTGAGAAAGTGTTGATATCATTAATAAAAGAGAAAGGAAAAACTATTTCTTTCAAAATGTGAAGAAACAGGCTGATTAAAGGAAGTGCCAAGAGAGCAAAATTCTGTGGACAGATATTTCACTTGTATATATACAAGACAACTTTGTTCAACACAGCTCATTCCCAGGCAAAGCTAGGGAATGTTAGTATTTTTGGTGATTCCTAACTTTCCCCAGCTTGGTTGCTAGGTGAGTGTGCCCTGGATTGCAGCCTCAACTACTAATTGCAGCCTCGAATGGTGAGTGTGTATCAGGGCTCTCCCCAATGGGACATTTTTATTACTATATTCATAAGGTAAAGGTAAAGGTTCCCCTTGACAATTTTTGTCCAGTTGTGCTCATCCCCGTTTCCAAGCCATAGAGCCAGCGTTTTGTCCGAAGACAATCTTCCGTGGTCACATGGCCAGTGCGACTTAGACACGGAACGCTGTTACCTTCCCACCGAGGTGGTCCCTATTTATCTACTTGCATTTGCATGCTTTCAAACCGCTAAGTTGGCAGGAGCTGGGACAAGCAATAGACGTTCACTCCGTCGTGTGGATTCGATCTTACGACCCTGCAGCACAGGCTTCTGTGGTTTAGCCCACAGAACCACCACTATATTCATACCCACCCCATTATGTCACTTGGTGATAAAATGCATGGGGTTAGCAAGCTTTTCATCTAAACTGCAGCCAAGCAGACTAGTTATCACCAATTGCCAATCTAGAAATGTCCTCAGGTGACATTTACCTGCCAGGAATCCTGCTCTACGTCCATCAGCCCCATGTGAACAACACAATTTTCTATGCTGAAAGTAACTGTGAACTGAAAATTTCTGATGGGGGAGTGGCCCCCTTTGCAAATGGGAAGTTCCACAGAACCAATAGCCCCTGATAGACAGCCAAGAAAGTTCTGGTAGGCTCTTATGATAGCATTTATATATTATAGCACTTATATATGATAACATTTATATATTATGGTCACCAGGAAAAGGAGCAAACCAGCCCATCCCCAGAAGAGGCCAAACAGCAGGACAAATTTCCATCTAGTTTCCCCCTCAGTTTTTTGAATTCCCATTTATTTCAATGTCAACATTTCAGTATCATATGCTATACAAAGAACTTACAGGTGCTCGGCCTGGATGGCATTATATTTAGCTGCATATGTAATTGCAAATTGTGATATACAAGCTCACGCTCCTATCTTCCTTTTTAGACAAAACAGAGATAGAAACACCCTGCATATTAGTTCTGTATGATTTATTTATTTATTTATTTAT